CCGTGCTCTTTCAGCTTTATCTCAGGGGAGTGGTAGATTCATAACACTGGGCAATGACGTTCGGTGATCCGGTGTGATTCTAGTGACTGTAGCTTTGTTTGACTTTTGTCACTATGTTTGACTTTTGTTGTCAGCATTTGCAAAATTCTCATCATTTCTAACCGTTCTGACCTAATTCCTCATCATGATAATGATACTAGGAATCATCATTTCTATGGTAATGAAGGAAAGAAGGGTACTATACTTCCAGCTCCTCCAGACCCTTCTAAGCTGCTAATATTTACCTCTGACATGGTTTCTGGCTGTACATTAGAGAAGGCTAATAGAGAAAAAATAGGCATAGTCGTTTAGAATTTGCAGATTCAGTCTCTACTAGACGGTTGCTATACTTTTGGAATAAGAAAGGGCCACACTGTGGTAATTCTAGATAAATTCTAGGTAAATTAGAGATTCGGGTATTTATAAATTATTTATAAAGACCATCAGGTGAGAATATCCACCCCCCAGCCCCTCCAAATGCTGTGCCAGCAGATTCAAGATCAAGGCCCCAAGCAGGGTGACCATGTAATTAACATACTAAGAAGACGGCGGATTCTCTAACAATCAGTTCTTATAACGTCTCAAGATACAGAGTTTAGAATAGTGCTTTACAGCAGGCTTCCTCCTTAACACTAATAAGTACCCACAAACTGCTGCGATGTTGTCAACAGACATTCTCTCTTCTGTGTAGATTGTCTTTGTCCCATAGTGAATCATAAGTGTCATGGGCAAGGTGCTGAAATTAGGCTTATGGACAATACACAGAGACGAGCCAGAAGCCAATGGGCAAGCTAATGGTCAAGCTGAGCAAGAAGGCCATCGACGTCAAGTAGGCTCCTGGTACGGGAAAGGCCACAGGCGCACGCGAGGTGCGAAGGCGTGCGAGGCGGGTACCTGGCCTGGGTGAACGGAACCCAGAGGACTGAAAAGGGGCATCCGCGAACTCGAGCCTGCCCAAAAGCCCACAGGAGCGGGGGATTTTTTCTGAAAAGGTGCTTGGGGAGAATGTCACAGAATCAGAAGGAGCGAGACAGCCAAGGCTTGGCATCACTCCCACCACACGGGCTCCTCAGCGCCGTTGCCGGCCATTCTGCATTTGCAATGACTGCTCAGGCTTAGGTCTGCCTTCCATGCCTCTGTATTCCCCAGCCCGCATTGCGGGGGGGCTGTTTGCAGAGAAGAAGGAAGTCTTGTGAGCTAGGAAGCCACCCTCAGAGGTAGACACCACCGGAGAGTTTCACCCGTAAGCAAGCCGACGTGTGTTTTATTTGCATAAATAGATTTCAGGGCCTTTTGCAATATAGGAGACTTGGCCCTGAAGCTGCTATATCGCATCTAAGTCACTTCCAGCTATGTGAAGCTTCCGGGAAACCAGTAGACCTTTGTGCGGCCTTCACAGGATTAACATTTATGAATTTGGCTTTGAGGGCAATCCATAGATGTGTGCCATGAGGTAATTCGTCATTTCGCTGAGCTTATGCGAGCACAGAATGAGACACTTAGCTTGCGAAAGGGGATCTCCGGCAGAACCCGTCGGTGGATCCCCCCTCGGGGTGTATCTCAGGCCCGCACGTGAGCATCGTGTCTGCCGGGGGTGACCTCGCCGACACAGCCCTGCTCCACGGCACCCGCGCCTCCTGCTGGGCGGGCCCCGAGAGTGGAGGAGAAATGGGAGTGGTGTCCTCATCCCCCTGAAGCTCGTGGTTATGTCAAGGAAACAGTTACCACAGCACGTAATGAGAACTGTGGTGTGTGGCACTCAAAATACAAGGACTCTGAGCGGAGGGACCATGTAATCCGCCTGGGGGACTTGGGGAAGGCTTCTCGGAGGAGGCGACATTTGACCTAGGTCTTGAAAAACGAGTATGAGCTTAACACACCATGCAGGGGAGGTGAGCCTCCAGCCAGAGAGAATAGCACGTGTTACATTTGAGGAACAGCTGGGGTGTGGGCCAGGGGCCTTGAGGTTGGAATCCTCTTCCGAACAAGGTTGACAAGCAGGACACACTGAGACTGGACTTTGTCCCACACAGATAGTAGAAAGCCATCAGCTTTTTAAGCAGGGTTATTGGTCTCATTGGGTCAATTTTTAGAGAATTTAACTTACAAAATATGATTATAACTTAATTGATATTATTCTAAGAGTCCTTGAAGATAAGGGCATCGTCTTCATCATTAAACAGCACCAAAAAAGTTCTGACTATTAGTGAATTCCTATCACCATTCACCCTACTGTCCTAGCTCGAAGTGTAGGAAGTTACCTCTAACTCCTTCTCTTTTACCCCATTATCTACTTAATCCCCTAGTTTGGTCATTCCTAACTCTTTAATGATGCTTGATAATCTGTCACTGCTGGCCATCCCTGCTGCCGCTGCGTCCAGGGCATGTCGACTCCTGCCACAATAGCCTCTGACCCCGCTTCCCTAGGCCTCCAAACCGCTCTGCATCCTGCTGCTGGAGATCTTTGTAGACCGCAGATCGGTTACGTTGCCCATCCACGTCAAACCTTGTAAGATGGAAGCCAGGCTCCTTCGCACAACCTGCCTTGCCCTTCGTGTTCAGCCATGCAGAATGACTGGCTCTCAGGGTGATCCAGGCCCACCTGTGTTAGAGCTCTCCAGAGAAACAGAACCAATAGGATATATTGATACAGACAGATTTATTGTGAGGAATTGGCTCACACAATTTTGGAAGCCAGGAAGCTTTCCAGGGTGGGGCTCTGCTGTCTGCAAGCTGGAGACCCAGGAAAGCTGGTGGTGTAGTTTGAGCTGAGTGTGAAGACCCAAGAACCAGGAGAGCCAGTGTTTTCAGTCCTGGTCTAAGCTCAAGAAAAGACCGGTGTCCCAGCCAAATAGTGAGGCAGAGCAAATCCGCCCTTCCTCGGCCTTCTGGGTCTGTTCAGACCCTCCACTGATTGGACGATGCCCACCCTCTTTGGGTCAGGGCAGTCAGTTTGCTCGGTCCACTGATTCAAATGCACTAGTCTCATCCAGAAACAGCCTCGGAGACACACCCAAATGATGCTGAACCAGACATGTGCCCCTCTTTTGCATCCCACAGCCTTCTAGAACCTGGGGCTCATCACATAGCCGCTGATTTGTAATCTTGACTTTGTGGCTCTTCAGCTGGACTGTGAACTGCTTTCTCATAGGGCCTGGTGCGTGGGAGGCTCTTGGTAAACGTCTGTTAGTCGCTGTTGCTTCCTTTGAGTTCCTAGAGCATGTCCTACCCTTTCTGTGAGAATGAATGTGCAAAAACAGTGGCTGGGGAGACTGTGGATTCAGTCCAGTGGGTGTTGCACGTAGTAGATGCTTAAATATGTTCACATATCTCATTGTAAGCAATTTGGAGTATGTAATAGCTCACCTGTACCCGTCTTGTTGAAATTAAAGCATGCACACGTGCGTGCTCACGCGCGCACGCGCACACACACACACACACACACAGCCGTCTTGTTGAAATTAAAGTATGCACACGTGCACACGCGCACACACACACACACCTAAGAGTCTACCTCAGTGCTTACAAATGCAAGCCGTATATATTCATTTAAAGATGTCCTAAAAATTTCTATATCAGTGATAATCT